AGGTCATCTGTAGTGGCTTCCTATTAACAATAATAAATAATCTATAATGAACAATGAATTTAATAATCTATATATAATTCTATGATTTATTGAATTTTGTATTCCTTTCTTTCTCTATGTCTCGATTATAATGTTATATAATTTCATATATATTATTTTTTACAGATTTATCAAACTCTCTTAAATTAAAAACAAAGCAATATCATAGAGTACAAAAAAAAGAGTACAAAAAATAGAGGTAAGTACTTCTATTATTGTACATATTTTTGCAAATAAAAATGAAACGTCGAGTGAAACCATTCACTGAATTATCGAGATGGCAACGAAATAGACGTTTACGTCAAAGTATCGACGAATTAACTAGTTGTAAAAATTATAACTTTGAAAAAGAAATTAATATGGATAAAATCTCAAATGAAAAACGAACCATTGAAAAGTGTCCAATGGAAAATCCTTTTATTCATTATAAATAATAAATACATATTACAATTTATATGTATTATATTATAAATAGATAATTATGTTTATATTATTTTTATACGTATATGTGTGTTTATCATTATATGTTTGTTTTTTAAACAACATGCATATTACTTATATGTATTTTTTTTAAGTATATAAATAAAGTAATTTTTTTAAAGCAATAATCTTATATTTACTTTTCCCTATCTACAATTCTTTCAAAAAAGTAATCCTTTTTCAATTCTAAAACTATTTCTTTTGAATTCATAAAATAATCCTTTATCTATTCTAAAACTATTCTTTTTGAATTCATAAAGCATAAATCTGTTGGTATAGAAGAATACTATATGAATACTCTAAGAAATTTTCAAGAATTCCAATCATGGTGCATGTAACTTTTTAAACCATTCTTATAGTATTCTTCTATGAATTCTTAAAGAATTACAATTCAGAAAAGAAGAAAACTTGAAGAATACTTTGCGAATTCACTGTGCTATCTGGGTAGTATGTAATCATTTTATGATTCAAAGATTTCTTTTAATAAATCTTTTATTTAAATTTAAAAAAAAACATTAACAAGTATGTGTGCTTAAATTATTACAATTTTTTCTACATTTCTTAACTTTAAATTATAACTTTTATAAAGATTTTATAAAAGAATCTTAAAATTACTGCTAAAAAAACCAATACAGCGATGCCACAATCGAGTTTATTCTACAAAAACTTTAAAAAATATAATTCAAAAATTGTTAAAGGACGAAATGGTAAATTGTTATTTACCATTAATATATATTGTTATTTACAATTAATATAGGAATAATATATTTCTACAAATGATACAAACTAAAATTGAATTCAAATTTTGCGCTGATTGGTATTGAACATATGATTCAATAAATTTGATAGCAGGCAGTTAATGCTATCTAAAAATAGCATAAGGCATTAGGATGTAAAATGCAAATATTTATACGCGCTATCGCTACATATGCCTGCTGCTTGCTATTTTTATCGAATTCTACACTCACAAAATTCAATTTCAGATCGTACTATTTCTTATAAAAATATATTCTCCAAATTTAATAAATTCAACAATTTTTCAAGAAGCAAATTTATGACCTTTTGCTAAGTAAATTTAATCTCTAAATAGTCTTTGAATCTCTGCTAAAATTTAAACTTATTACACTTATTACACTTTTGAAAAATTAACAAAGTATTAAGAGAATATATGGCCGGTTTATGCTTCGGTCTTAGGCCGGTATTCATAGTCCGTTCTTATATTCAAGATCGTTTTAAGTACAAACTTATATTCGCTCTCTTTGTCAGACACAATCTATGTGTGACAAAGAGAGCGAATATAAGTCCGTGCTTAAGACGATTTTGAATATAAGAACGGACTATGAATACCGCCCTTAATCTTAATCTTAAGAGTTGATAACGTAGAATGCCATAAGGGCGTTTATACTTCCCTAGTCTTAATCTTAGTCTTAATCTTAATCTTGGAAAGATCCCATCTTTTAACTTTAGTCCCTAATGTCCTAAGGCCGGGCCAATGAGGTAAGTCTGACGTCCGACGCAGCACGAAACCGCGCGAAATAATGGTTTTCGATTCTTGTAAAATACGAAAATGAGTGATGCTGATTTAATTGAATGTGTCCAACAATTCGATGTTGTTTGGAATAAAAAAAATCCAAATTATAAAAATAAATTAGTGGTGAAGAATAGTTGGAACGCTATTGGAGAAGCGCTAAATTTAAGTGGTAAGTTAGTATGTAGAATCTAACCTCTTAAATTGAAAGAACAAAAACTGTGTAGGAGTGTTTTTATAGTTTTTCTATTACAATTTGTGGTTAGGTTAGGTTAGGTTTTGTTACATTTGCACATGCGTAGTCCGAATTTCCAGGGAAGCATAAACGAGTCCTTAAGATTAAGTTAAGACTAAGACTAAGATTAAGATTAAGACCGAAGCATAAACCAGCCAATAATTAAACAAGAGATAATAGTTGAAACAAAAATAAAACAAAAACAAACTACAATAAATATTTGAAGACCATTCTAATAAACATTAGTTAAAATTAATAGAGATTTAGCTGATTCTCTATCTTTTTTTGATTTTATTATTTGTTAAAAGAATAATGTCACCTTTAATTTATTTGATTATACTTTCCTTTACACGATCTTTAATCGTTTTTGCATATTTACAAGCTCATATAATATAACATCATTATTTATAATAATGTTTTATCAATTACTTTAGAATGATCACAGTTCACACTAGAGGCTCTCTCTCTCCCTCTTTTTTTTCTCTCTCTCTCGTTGATTTTTTTTTGTAAAGGAAAATAATTTATATATAATATATTATATAATATTAATCGCTACAAAATATATGTCCGACAGTATCGTGTAAAGTCCCGAAATCCCGCGAGACATATATACTACACTTTTTTTATTTTTCTCACAGAGATAATTTTATGTATGTTAACATTATAATTCCTACAAAATATCACTTTCACATTACCTCGCTGATCTCTGCTCGTAGAGAAAAATAATTTATATATTGATATCCAGTGCTACAACCCAGACAACACGTAAATCTGAAAGACATCTGAAAGACGTCCAAAAGATGTTAAAAAAAAAATGACGTCTTTTGAATGTCTTTAAGATTTGCGTGTTGTCTGAGAAACCATGTCTAAGAATCTTAAAAATCTCCACTGATACTTTAGAAACCTATAGACAGTGAGATGAAATTTTGCGAGGCCCTTCATAAATTTAGAGGAAAATTACAGAACGATAAGCTCGCAAGTCAGCCATCATTTGTAATATACAATATGTAATATGTACGAGATATATTCATTGCCTAGGAAGATACAAAAGAACTTATTAAAAATTAAGTGAATTTTTGTATTAACTGCTTTATACAAAATTTCTATAGCTTAATTTCAATAGACTCGTCCACGCTTGGACCCGGAATAATGACACTATTGTTGGCAGTAATGTTCGCTTCGAGTTGTCGATTTTCATATTTCTTTGTCATATGATTATTGGTCTTTTTACCAGTCAATATCATCATATCCGAATGTATTCTGAAGTGTAATCTGGACTCCAATAGATAGCCTGTATAATTTTTCCTGGAATTTAAATACAAATTTAATTTAATTTAACTAATTTTATAAACACTGGCAAATTTATAATGTTATCCAAAATTTTAGATTAAATATTCTAATATGAAATCTCATACTTACTTAGCGTCTTCCAGAAAGCCTATAGCCAATTGAGTGTCACCCTGATCTTGAGCCAATAACGCCAATTCAACAGTAGCGTAAGGAAATAAATATGTATCTTGCTTGACGGATTTTTCCAGTTGTAAAACGCGTCGCAAACACTCTTCTGATTGCAAAGGATGCTGCATTTGCCTCAGACAAGCACCTTTCAATAGCAACAGGAGCGCTTCATTGTCTGCATGATATTCACTTTTCCTATACAAATATACACATCTTTATTATACGTACAAAAAATTATCATGATTCTTTAACGACTGATTCAATCAGGCCACAATAAATTAATTTTTTTCTACTTCAAGCTTAAAAGAAAAACTTTAGATCATATTATGAGCGTTTAAAGAGACCTTGACATGTTTGTCATATGTAGAAAACTTTTTTCCTTACATCTTTTATTCAAAGAATTTTTTGCACATTATTTATTCTACGACTGTTAAAATGTAAATAAAGCATCTCGTATACAAGAAAAAAAGATTTATAGAATTATTCGTCATATTTTGCACTTTTATTTCAAATATAAGCATAAAATTACTTTTTCTTATATATTTAATCACCTTTAATCTTTTATTATTTATTCCTTACTTTATCGTTTTTTTGATCATTTTAAGCTATTTATCATAAACATTAGAATAAACATTAGAATTATTTAAAGACTTACGGTGCTGTTTGGAGTTCTTTCTCTTCCTCCTCTATTCTTTTGAATATATTCATTATCAAATCTTGCCGTTTGCCTATTATCCTAAACACATTCCACACGTACATAAGCTCGAATATAGGCACGACTAAATTTTTCTTTTGCGCAAAGTAACGCTCCGTTTTCTTGATTACATATTTCTCCATTGGCAACGATTTACCGGCGATACGTTGTTTGTAGGTCGGCGCTTGCATCATCAAATTGTCGATCAGCTGCTTCTCCTCGCTCGACGATGCCGGTTTTTGCATAATCAAGATCGCGGCTTTCTGGTACAGATAAATGGTGCGCGACCAGTTGGACTCGTTCGCCAACATCGTAGCGTATGTGATCGCCTTGTTCCATTGTTGCATCGAGCAGTGTGCCCACATCAACTCCCAGTAACAAAGATGATGGAACTGCGGCCATACATTCTGACTCTTCCATGATTTGATATACCAGTCTATACACTTCTCAAAGTTCCCCCTCGTGAGTTCTAGTCTTCCCTTGAAAAATAGGAACCACACACCGTTTGGATAAAGGCTCAACTCTTGCTCCAAAACCTGTTCGCACCATTCCAGATCTCCGTCAGAGTGACTCAATACAAAAGTGACGATTAAATTATATGACAATAAGGTCATCACACATAGAATCTGTCGTAAGCCCCTCCTCTCATCGTAGCCGGACTTCAATTCCGCTAGGCCGTATTCCTGTTGATAACAATTGAATTAATAAACAAAATTGTATATCGCTACAAAATGATTCTAGTCACCTTATCGCCTGAGAATCCAATAAACTCCAATAATTTAATAATCCGCGCTGGTAACAACGAGATCATCTAAAAGAAGATAATCATTAATAAATATTTGCTATCAGATAATGCTCTCTTATCGCAATAAAAGCAATTGTACTATGTACCAAATTGAATGTGCCAATGCCCATACGAACGCCGCTCTCGAAATGTACCTTGCGAATGTCGTTTCCCCACTTACGATTGTTTAAGATTGTCATACATTCCCTGAAAAAAATAACAGCCACGTATTATTGAAAAAATCGAGGATCCACGAGTCCGCGCAATGTGATTTATTTACTTATACGACAGAAAACAGGTACGAATTTTCAGTCCTGCCTTCACAAAGCTGACCAGAGTTTCATCCTCTATGAACGTGAGCATCGATTTTAAGAGGAGTGACTCGGCATAACAGAGTTCCGCATGCACTTCCACTGGAAGATTAATTTTTCATCATTTTTTTCATGCACTATGTTGTACAGGCTACTTTAGATATCTAATTGCATCTAAATTAATTATTACGTAATCACACTTTAAAATTCATATCTTGGCAATAATTTCTAGTCGTACTGTACTGTTAGATAAGAAAAAGTTTATAGTACCAAGAATGACATTAGCATTTCAAATTATTAAACGTTTCAAGATTAGTCATTATATATCACACGTTGCAACTTTTATAAAGTTTTTGAATGAAGCTTATTGACGTTGTTTCATTGAAGCTTGTTATTAAAGTTTCTTATTATTGAAAGAAATATTATTAAACATGTGGTTTTTTGTTCAATATTCGTTAGATAAACACAAAGCCATAAGCAAACTTTGCATGCAGATCGTGTGCGCATATATAATATATTACCATTTGTATAAGCGTCATAGTTGATTTTTTTGACCATTTTTCCAATGTTCTGCGTAATAGTGGTGTGTTTTCGATGTTTGGAGCATACGCTCATGCATTGCTTCAGTGCTTCCGACGCCTTCTCAACATGTTTCTACGTATTGCACACAATATATTGTTAAAGAAAGAAATTTTACGCGGTTCTAAGTCAACTAAATGAAAAGTGGCTTGAGCGTAACAAGAGGAAGGTAATAAATAATTTGTACCTGTTCAAATGTAAGAATTGCTTCTAGAAATGCGAATACGCTAGTCCCCAGAGAATGGTACATGCTACTATCCGCCCACGGTTCCAAAATTTTCTTTGCCTGTTCGAAATCATTGTTGAAAAAACAATGAATCGCCTTTTTCGCTTCCATTATCGAAGTATCCAAGTCCATAGAAGCCAGTCTGAAATAATTTGTCGCTTAAATAAAAAATCTCTAAGATAAAAAAACTATTATAACACAAAGCAAATTGTGCATATATATGCATATACGTACTGTGGTAAAGATTCCTGAGCATCTTGAAACTGAAAAATAAAAATCATATGAATATTAGACACAATATAATTATGTAAAATGCAAATGTATATAAATTTTATTTATATTGCCTTCATAAAAGTCTAAAATGACATATCATAAAGATATAAAATATTATATATATATCTTTATTTAAAAAAAAAATATTTACCTCGTCATCGCCTTCAATGTCAGACATTTTCGATTCGTATTAAGAAGTTGTTCTGCAAAAAGATAATTTATAAAAATAAGTCACATCCATAAATCATCTTATAATCTATGTTAGAATACATATTAAAAATCTATAAGCTTCATATATTTATTATGTGCATAAGTATATTGTAGATGATATTGTACAAATATATACTTATACACATCATTTACGTTACAATTTAATTTATAATTTTACCTTATTCTATTTCACAAAAAAAAGATAGAGTTGATTAAGAAAATTAAAAAAATTAGAAATAAAAATTCGGATAACCAATATAATACACCTGCAGAAAAATAATCTCTATTTGATCAACTTTGATTATTAAATTCTAAACTTGTTGATAGTATATCGAAGATAAAACTCATATGTATCAAATATTTATTTTTCAAATGAAGAACGTTGAATGTTTTGCAAACGTAGCGTTAATAGTACTAAAGGAAACGCTGTCGTAAAACAATGAGTGATACTATGATATATTTTGACGTAAGCAGAATAATGACTAATGCAGGAATAAATGCCTAGTAATTGGCGAATACCTGGTAAATCGCAACGATTAGCTATATGATAAAATAAGAGGAACTATAAAAAAATAAAACGTACATTAAAATCTGTTTGTTACAACAGCACAAATTTCTATATTTCTATAAAAAATAGATACACAATAAAGTGCTCAAGATATTTCTGATATGAGATTATTTTAATTTTATGATAATTTTAGTATGTATATTCACTTTTTGCGATATTTTAGTATATTTAAAAATATCGTGGACAATATCTTATTATTTATAATATTTTTTAAGTAGTTTTTATTTTATATCTATCTGATCTGTATTTATTACTATAAAATTATGACATGTGTAGTCATACATTTGTAATAATTATAATCGACAATATAATAAAAAGAATCAAATTTTTATTTTAATTTTACCACAAAAATATGAGTTGTAATAGAATAAAGATTTCCACTTTCTAATCCACGTTGCTGTAGGGCAGTTAAACGGGTTGCGAAACCCTTCAAGCGTTAGGGAGCAAGAAACTCACAGCAAAAGCACAAATAAATACAAGGAGAGAACAAACCAGAAATTGTTGTTAAAAATCACAATTTTTTAAATCACAATAACACGTTCTATTATAAATTATTTTAATTCCTAACTAATATTTATATTTGAAAAAAATATAATTTAAAAAAGAATGGAATTTATAAATAGCGCACAGATTAACGAATAAAGTAAACATTATCAGCTTATTTTATCGCACGAAAACCGCGTGAAAAAATAACCGAGATATCTTGCTACAAGATAGGATACTTTAGAAGAGTTTTAAATCTGACTTGCGAAAATCTCTTACGAAGCGATACTCTCCGAGAGACGATGACGCTCGGACTGACGAAGACGAGCGGGTGATTTCAGCCCCGCGTGAGGAAAGTAGACTGCCACGAAGAAAGTATAAAAGGCTAGACCTACATTTCCTAAATCCGCATGCGGAGGGGAATGGAGAAAGCGCGTGCGCGCAATTTTTCGTGCGCTTCTCGCGGTACATCGTCATTTGCGACCTGCTGAGATTAGATGTAGTAAAACTCAAGAGAGAATGATTTGTTAACAATTTTTTTAAATTAACTGCACAGATAATCACTTTTTCAAATTTTCATAAGATTACAAAAAATATAATAAATAAAATTCACGATAAGATTATAAACGATGTGATTATTTAAAGCGTATTAAAAAATTAAAGGATAAATAAATTTATGAGGAAAAATTCTTAAATTGTTTTATAAGGCAATTTGCAATTCTATATTAATATAATAAAAAATAAAAATAAATCAAGAATTTATTTAAGATATAATTGTTCAGAACAGAGTTAAGATAAATTTCTTTCAATTTTATACGCGTCATTTACAGACAATGACGTCTGTAAATGACGCGTATAAAATTGTCTTATGTCTATTAAATATAAAATTGTTAATAATGATGTCTACTATATAAAATTGTCTTATTATCTATAAATGTCTTTTTTAATCACTCATATAAGTAATGTAGTTTAAATGAAATAGATTTACTGTGTGCTGTGGAATCGAAATTGTTACGTTAATTTCTAATTTAAAATACAGAATGTCAATTTTTGTTACAAATTGACAACTTTTAATCACACTATAAAAAAAAGTCAATTAAATATCAATTTTATACTCTAATTGTCCTTAAATATTATTATTAATGTCAAAAGAAAGATATTGCATAATTATTATTTATTATTTACTATAATATTCACTAAAATATTTTAAAATATGCGCTAAGAATTACACATAAAACAAGGTACGTACCTACTTCCCAATATACGGCTCAGATGAAATAGATATGTCAAAAAAGAAATAATGCTGCGCGATGTTTATCGGTGATAAATTCGGTGATTATAACTTTAATTAATCTTTAACGATATCATGATACACGTATCTAGAGCGATATATTATAAATGAAGTGATCAAGTGATCAAGTAATAAATAACAATCACATATTTTTAGAATTTTATAATATTCGATAATGGCGTAATACGTTTGGATGTCTCGACGAGACCAATGCAATGCGTGTAGAAGCGCGCGTAATCACGGCAGATCAATCTTTATCAATAATTCATTTGAAAATAGGGCGCAATGCGTGTCTCGTTAAAGCGGAGAGTTGCGCGCTTTAGGTGTAGGACGCGGGTGAACGCGGCTAAAATCGATCGTCGCCGAGAAACAAGCGGAGCAACGCGTCAGTAGGCCGCTTCGTCCTGCGGTCCTGTGAAACGGATGTCATCCACGTTGAAAATTGCAGCGCGCACACAGTTGAATGAGAAGTGATTGCGGCAAAGTCGATTCGCGTCGCGATTTTCGACGCGCGGGAAAACTCGATGCACGGAACGGCAATTTCACGAGCACGCTCGCTCGCAACCGCATAGAGCCGGCCGAATCACACCGAGAAGCACCGAGCAGCGACGAGCGCGACGTATGCACTGACCGTCGGCGACGATGAGCGACGAGCTCGTCGGCGGCACGTGATTTCCGCGGATGATAGTGCGCGAGCGCCAGGGTCGTAACAATTGTCATTAGATACTGTTAGATTAAATTAGAGAGAATTCCTAATTTTATTAACATTATTTTCATCTCTTAAAAGTGTAAATCTTTTTAAATTAAGTTTTTATTAAATGTAAAATTAAAAACTAGTTTTTAATTAAATTTTAATACTTTTACGTCCGATGTTACCTTTTGTTGAAATTTAACGTTAAAAGCAAACTGTTTTACAAAATAATATACAAAGTTAAAAATAATTGTCATTTATTAATTAAAAATATCCAATAAATTGTATTTATAATATCCTAATGTTCAATAATAAATTCTTTCCAAAAAAATATACTTTCCTTAAGAAACATTTGGTTATTGCATTCTTTCTCATAAATATTTCATTTTCGCGACGCTATAATAACGAAGAAAATAACGAATTAATGGAGGAAAATAAAGAGAAAGTCTGATTTCTCAATGCATCTTGAATAAGCATATACGTAAAACTGCATAATAATAATAATACCATAATGATACTGCTCTACAATTTTGCGTATCTGCACTTTTCATTATATTTTTGTCGTTTATCTCATTGCGCCATGATAATAATGTCTTTTTTTTAAATAAATTATCTCATAACTCTTTATTTCGTATCGGGAGAAATAAGCGCAAACAATGTTTCAAATACAATAAGCTAACTGTAAGATAATGAGCGGAAATAATAATGGAAAATCAGTCAAAAAGTAATCTCCTTTGCGCTGTTGAGACGATTAAGTCAAGGCTCTATTATGGTAATGGTTTATTACATTTGCTGGATTCTTAGAAGAGTATAAAATAAATTTATAAATCAAAATTTTTTTTCAATAGAATAGTAAATATAATGTATATTCATATTAAATATATTTACTTCAGAATAATCGGAAAATTATTAATATTAAAATCGGGATTTTATAGATATAGATAAAAAATTAATATTGAACAAATGTCTTGATTATATTTCTAAGGTGCGATAGTCAATTTAGGAATAAACAGGTTACATTTCTACAACAAAATTTCACACAAATAAGCTTTTATTAAAGTTTTTTGTTGTTAAAAAAAGCAAAGCAAGATTTGTGAAAGTCTCATTAGCGCTTATTAGATTACGACTATCAATCAAATAAAGAGGGTTAAAATATTAAACTTTCATTACATTGATACAATAAATAATACATAAAATATGATACAATAATTGACATTTACAAAATTTACTAAATAATCACTAAAATTTGCTCACGTTCACGTCAAAGTCAGTTTTAATTTAAATGATTGTCGTATGCAACACAATTTCGTAATAAAATGTAATGCATAATTTATTTCGTATTTTACGTTGTTTAATTAGAATTAGCTACAGCTATCAGTCTATCAAGTGCACACATTCCATTGTATAATATAATTTCAAACAGGCGAATATTTTAATGATCGTTTTCTTCATTATTCCAATTGCATTTTGTATTTTAAATATTTGTGTAAATTACACAATATGGAGTTCCACACATTTATATAAAATTCTTAAATATCTCTCTCTATAAAAAATTATAAATCAATATAAATGAAATAACATTATTTGAATAATTAAGAGGATGACAAGCCAACGTATCGGCTGATTTATTTTCTAGCAATTTTTATGTTATATAACTAAAACCTAGAAAATGCTATAACTTGCAATTCAACAAAAATCTCCAGACTGATATTGCGATATGTAATTAAATGCTAAGGAAATAAAAAAAAATGAAATTATCTGTACGATAGCGTGTTATTTGCAAAATTAAAATAGAATGATTAAATGATATATATCTCAATCGATGATTTAACATATGTTACAGTCTCAATAAACGTAAATTTTATGATTGATAAAGTGAATTAAATTGAAATCATTTTTCCGTTTATTTATAATAAAACAAATATGAAAAGAGGAATATGAAAAGTTTAAACAAGTTGAAATATGCGTATAACCTTATTTGTACCGATTATTTTGATACACGTATACTAATTTTGTTCTAAATTGCGAATGTATTGCGGATGTTCTAAATAACTGAATTTGACGTAAACAATTATACAAGTTGTTGCAGCGCGTGAACTTGGCGTGAAATACGACCGTGTCCTTTGATGGTACAAATATAAGATAAATTTAATACAGATAAAACATACATAAACTGAATCACGTATATTTTAGTTGTACTTCTTCAATTATCTTATAACTATTCTTTTTGCTTTTCTCTTTTTTTTTCTCAAATCTTCGTACATATGTCTATTTTACGTCAAGGTATACATTTTAATTAAATGGAACTGTAACTATAATGAGATAATGAAAGAGAATCGAGACGATTTATGGCAAGAGTGCTCGCGTCAAGTGATCACACGTCAAAATCGTACCTGCGACTCGATGCAAGCGAATTAAGTCGTCCACCTTCGAAGGTCCGTCTTCGAGTTTGAACGCGCGCGAGAGAAACGCGATAATCGCGCGCTAGCCTGGCAAAGGCGCGATCTATCGCAACAACGAGGAGAGCAGCAACATCGTCGTCGCAACGCCGCGACGTAAGCGATACTGACAAACTAGAACGGCCAGCCAGGAAACTAGATGTTGCTGGCTCGATCCTCTTCACGGGATCGACATAATCGCGCGATTATCGGAAAATGTAGGCGCCGCGTCTCGTCTCGTCCCGTCTCCGTTCGTTGCACATCTTTTCCACGGACTGTCCACGACCACGGTTCTCGCATCGTCGAACTTGCAACTGACGCAACTTACGCAACATAACCTTCTCAGCTGCGAATAACCAACGACGGATTTCCGCGTAGCACACAGACGTGTATTTCTGTCAGCCACAAAGTGCGTTTGTGTAATTTAATTATAGGGATAAGATGTAGCACATTAAAGCGTTGCACACATCGAGTTGGGTGTATTATCATCAGTGTACAGTGCTTGGAAAAAATCATATGTTACGATGATGCTGTTATTTTTGAGACTGCACTCTTACGTTTTATTTTTTTTAATCCTTTTGTTATTTTAAGCATTGATCACTTTGTTTGATGTTATACTTGATATTGTGCACAATGTATATGTAAATTTCACAAGGACCATTTCACAAAAATATATACCTCAATTCTTTTTATAACTGTAAATTGATGAAAAATACTAAATCTATAGATTTTTTATGTAGTAATAGTTGGTAATAGTTTAATAATTATAATATTAAATTTTTGTACACATAATTGTTTTACCTTTTGTACACATTTCTTTGGTAAATCATAATACTGATGAATATTTTATATCAAAACTATTTACTGTATCGATAAAAAAAGTTTTTTTTTGTTTTTATAGACTTCTAGTGATTGCTGCGAGGGTATGAAGTACAATTTATATTATATCAACTGTGTTGAAAGATTGCCAGGTGCAAGTTAGCTTGATTTTCTTTCATTATGGAAAATCAAGGTTATCATCATCAAACGTTTTCAACTCATCAGTCTTTCTGGAAGAAGAATACACGGGCTGTGCCAGGAAGGTATGTTTCTTAATGATATTATCTTCTTTACGTAATGGAATTTTTTAAAATTAATTTGCTTATTAATTCACATAAAGGCCGAGTCTGAAGCAGGATGTTAGACATGGCAAATTTAATCCCACGGTGATTGGATCTAGCAATTTGATCGGTACTGCTAATAGTAGCAGTAGCACAGGTGGAAGCGGAGGTTCTACTTCCTTTCAAGACTTTCAAGAGAGTGTGGATGATGCATGGGACTCAGGAGATGATGAATTTTGTACTGTTTCGGATATAAAGATATCGAAAAAAGTTAGTCACTCGGCGGCTCTCAGTGTTATCAACAGTCATCGATTTGGCAATAAGTGTTCAGGACTATCACAAGCAAATACCAAAGTGGTTCAACAAGAAATTATTCCCGAGGAGAAGAAAGTGGAGGCTCTGCAGAGATTGGCAGTACAACCACTACACTTACGTAATGCAAATCTGCATTCACAGATAAATAACAGTCAGCATTCCGGCGAGGATGTGGATTTGAAACATCCCAGTGTATCACCCCATCATAAACCAACGCAATTTCCTGGTAGACCGCAGCCATTAAGACAGGCAAACGCCCCCAATAAATTTTTTATACCCTCAAAAGAGCAAGGTATTTATTGATCGCGCATTCAGCGACAGTTTTTATGACGAGAAAACTCAATAATCACTTATAAATTTGCTTAGACGGCGAAAGTAAAGTGGACAAGTTTCAACTACTCTTGGAAGCGTCTGTACTGAATTTGGATGAATTAAGGCAGCTATCGTGGTCAGGTGTGCCTGCTAAATTGCGCTCCATCACTTGGAGGTTGTTGTCTGTAAGTAATGAAGGTAAACAATACCGCATTATTTAGCCTGGTGAAAACGTCGTCGCAGTGTTACGTGACTATGTAACATTGCAGGAATACTTGCCAGCTAATCTAGAACGTAGGCAGCATGCACTAGAACGTAAACGACTGGATTATTGGAACTTGGTGAAACAGTATTACGATGTAGAGCGAGACGAGGGCTTTCAGGACACATATCGCCAGATTCACATCGACATCCCTAGAATGTCACCGCTTATATCGCTATTTCAGCAAACAACGGTGCAACTAATATTTGAAAGAATATTGTATATTTGGGCGATCAGACATCCTGCATCTGGCTATGTTCAGGTATTAAACGTAAAATTATTTCTCTGTCCAAATTGTCATTTTTATTATATGGTAAAAAATTAAGACTGACATCTGTCGATATTATTGTAGGGTATGAATGATCTTGTGACACCTTTTTTCTTGGTCTTTCTACAAGAAGCGATACCTGTGCAAGCCTGGCAGGATCTAGAGAATTACGATGTAGCGTCATTGTCGAAGGAACAGCGCGATATCATTGAAGCGGACAGCTTTTGGTGCCTGTCGAAATTTTTGGATGGTATACAAGACAATTATATATTTGCTCAATTGGGAATCCAGCACAAAGTGAATCAATTGAAGGAGCTGATACAAAGAATCGATGGTGAATATCTCGATAGAGACCAAATCCGCAATTAAACATTCACATTTTCCTTCTTAAATGTGATTGTACCGTTTTTCAGCACCATTGCATCAACATTTGCATCAGCACGGAGTGGATTATCTGCAGTTCTCTTTTCGATGGATGAACAATTTATTAACTAGAGAGATTCCACTTCATTGTACTATTCGATTGTGGGACACCTATTTGGCGGAGTCCGACAGATTCGCCTCATTTCAGCTTTACGTGTGCGCAGCCTTCCTTCTGCGTTGGAGGCGACACTTGCTCTTGCAACCTGATTTTCAAGTAATTCATTCGACAGCTGTACTTCCTCGCACAATTTTAAAATAATATATTTTGTATGACCGATTGTTTACATGATCACACAGGGGCTGATGTTAATGCTACAAAACCTGCCCACGCAAAACTGGACGGATTCGGAGATTGGCGTGCTGGTGGCCGAGGCATACAAATTGAAATTTACATTTGCTGACGCTCCCAATCATCTGCAAGCTCACGACACAACGACCAGGTGACCACTTTCAGATAGCTTGGGTTAACGTTATTGTAACAAATGGTGGCCAAACAGAGAGACCGAGACAGCTCTCCTCTTCCGTCTCAACGTCGTTATATACACTGCGGCGTTCAGTCTATCATGGCCATATTGAAAGTTTCCGGAATGTGTAATCTCGTATGTTTTTCGCTCCCGCGTCGGCTATTAAGTTTCTTCGATTACTTTGTACTTTATAGAGTTTATTCCTTTGTTACATTGAAGGATTTTCATGAAGAAAGACGTTTAAATATACTCGCCATGTTTCGCTCCGGAATGAGATGTAAATGCTCCTTAAAACGCGGAGAATGTAACGCGAATCAATTGCCATTTCCCGGTTTGCATTACATTTTTATATATATAATAAGTCTCAGACAATTATACACAAATAATATATATAGACAAGAAAGTTTTATATATCGATTCTGTGTTGTGCTTTTATATGATAGTCACACTTCCCCCATCTCGTGTATATACTTCTCCCAACGTATATCCCAATTATAGACTTGGTTTTAAAACAATTACATTTTTGTGATTAATACGGCATCAATCTTTATTGACATTTATTATATTTTAATATTTTGTATTTCCATATACTTTATAATTGCAATACGTGAAAAATTTACGGTTTTAAAATATACATATGGATTATAGAATCTATTTATGGCATCGGATTTCTAATTATTACTTAAAAATAATAATGAAAATTTATATTTTCTATAAATTGTCAATGGATGTTCTTAACTCCAATGCCATAACATATTATGTTTACAAAACAGATCCTCAATTGAGAAGAGGTAGGTATTACCCTATATTTTAAGATATATTATAAATAAATAGGACTAATACCAATGAGTTTGTTAACATTATCTAGCTATGATTTTTTCTTAATTATACTTCAGTCGTCCTCCATGTCGATTTGACCATAATCATCGTCTAACGGTGGTATCATCGAGAGTGATTCGTTAAGATTGAAAGTTTTCTGTAACAAAAATAATTTGACTGAATATATAAAAGATGAATATATCTCCGACAATGCAAGTGTAATAAATTTCCTTAAATTTTTTAATATTTTGGAGTTTTTTTGGAACTTTATACAGAATCGACGATTTTTTATACAGACTTCATACTTACGCTCATGTAATCCACGTGCACGGGCATTGGGAATATACAGGGCATGCATTCCATCTTCGTGACGCCGTTATTATCGGCGATGCACTCACAAACTTGACACTTGTTCGGCTCGGCGGTAAGAGCGACTCTTTTTGAAAAAACGCTCGCGAACTTCTTGATCGAGGCGCTTTTCTCGAGGCGTAACTTTGTACCGCTGAATATCGTGCCATTCGTTTCCAGGGACAGCGGCGTACAGTAGCCTAGCACGTTTTTAGAGAGTTTGACCTGCCTCCTAAGATCCACATCGCCATTCAGTACTCGGGCATCCTTTTTGGTGTACGATTTAGCCGCGTCTAAGCCGTAAAAAATCTTGCTGATCTTTTCCTTCTCGTATTCGAAGTCGCCGTCCATCAATATGTGCAAAGTAATGTCGTGCTCAAGCATTACTTGATGTAACACGGAGTATTCCAACTAAGCAAAAAATTGCGAGATAAGTTACTAATGAGTTGCGAGACAAATTACTAAACACGAATGATTGAAGATAAGTTAGATAAAAATTATTAAATTTACGGAATAAATTAATACGAATAAATACGAATAAAGCTCGAATAAAATTGCATACAACTTAACGCGCGTGTTATCAAATGTCAAAACGCAACGAGATAGCGACGTATTTACGTTGCGACATGACTCTTGCACTAGAAGTTATCTTTTATACTTTTTATATTTGTCTCAAGACATTCTCATAATATTTCTGCCGCTCTAATTGGTTTTAAGAGAAGAACTTACCGTTTGGTTTTCCGGTTCGCAATGCGAACATGGCATCAGTATGAAGGTCTTCGAAACGCCAGCACGGAAAACGAGTCGCGATGCGAAGCCAATTGCGGCGAAGATGTCCTGACTACCGCCGCCGATCGGCACGTGATCGAAGTAATCAACGAAGCGCACCACGTTTTTCGTAAAGATCTGTCCGTCGAGGATGATGCTTCGCGGTTTGTCGTACACCCCGTCGCCGCCGAACACCACGAGGGACCAACGGTTGCCTGTGAGGTTTCGGTTGTTCAGCTCCTTGCTGAGTTGCGTAATCAACAACTCCATGCTGTTGTTCAGCTTCATATCGCGGTTGCAGTTCTTCGCCTCGACGATGAACACCACGTCGGCCGATTGCGGCACTTTGTCGCCCTCCAGTCGCTTGAAATCACCCTCGGCTACTTGACCGCCGTCTATCATGGTGCACGTGGTGCATCGATCGGGTATTCGCAAGTAAGTGTCGTGGAACATACACTTCTGCATGTACGACATCGCCACCGTGCACGCTTCGTCCTCGGTAAAGGTGCTCAGACACATGTCGGCGTACTTGGCGGATTCGATCACGTTGAAGCAGATGCCGAACTCCGAGCTCTTGTTCACGAACAGTTCGTTGCAGAACGTGGATATCGCGCTATCTTGACGCTGGGTCTTGTTGGCGTGATTGGCCGCATCGGCGCAATTCTCGTTGATGGACCAGCTGCGAGCGAGGCTACCGGTGTCCTTCAGCAGCAACTTGTTCGATCCTAGATTGTCGTCAAATTGCTCGTTATTCATGGTGCCGAGAAGACCGGCGATTTTTCCGTAATACCAGCCCGACAGCTCTAAAGTACATAAATTGAATTTGAGGTTGCACTCTAGCCGAAATTGGTTATTCTTGCGCTCCACCGTCACCACGTTCTCCTCTTGATAAATGTACGTCGTATTATTGTCCAACTCGACTGGCAGCTGCAGATTGGTTATCGTGTCGGTAGATTGTTGAGAAATTAGCTTTATTGTCTAGAAAACATTTAATATTCAATATAGTTATACAATTATAAAAGAAATGTCAAACTTGGGCCTTAATAATAAAAAATTATTAAAAATGTAAAATAGCTATGTTGACCCAGAGCCAGGTGTTAGATGCTACAAAAAAATAATAATTAACCAAATTATTAATTCATACGTTTCGGCACATTTATTTCGGCCATCTTCAGTGATAACATAATAGAAAGTAAACAATCGTTACAGAGGAAATATGAAAGAATAAAAACAAATATGCTCCGCAAGGCCAACGCATATCGGTTAAAGAATTTGAACGCTCATTATAATAACTCATATATGTTCGAAGTTGGAGACACATTGTGTGGACAATCTATCCGTTTACTGTAACATTATATTATTTATAACTTGGACATTTCAAGTAAGATCTCTTTTCCTTTTTTAATTTTGAAACCTGTTGACATACATAAATATGTGCGAAACCTGCAATTGTTATACGACGACTTTGCGTCGCAGTATTAATTGATTACTATTTTATTTTATATTATAATGAGCGTTCAAATTCTTTAACCGATATGCATTGGCCTTGCGGAGCATATTTGTTTTTATTCTTTCATGTTTCCTCTGTAACGATTGTTTACTTTCTATTATGTTATCACTGAAGATGGCCGAAATAAATGTGCCGAAACGTATGAATTAATAATTTGGTTAATTATTATTTTTTTGAGCATCTAACACTTGGCTCTGGGTCAACATAGCTATTTTACATTTTTAATAATTCAATATAGTTGGTGTTTAATTATTCCAAAAAAATATATCAATTGTTATTAAGATGCATTGAGTTAATAAAATATCTTTGAAAAAGGTTCATCACACATTGTGAATGACGACGTCTTTTTGAGTGATTTGATATAATTAATTACACATAAAATATCAATGTTTGTTGAATAAAATTGATTTAAATTTGAGTCTTCTTTTAATTTTAAAATTAATTTGTATTACTATTTTACTAACATTATTGAAGAGATCCAGTTCGATAGCGTTGTTTCCGATCAGTACAATGATCTGATGCGTGATTTTCTCAGCTTGCCGATCATATTTCACCAGAATTGCGAAAGTATTGCGCACAAAATCCTTGGCTAACAAATAAGTACAATTTCCCGCAAAGTCGAAGTGACGTCCGTCGAAAGTTACATAATGTTGGGATCCAACAATCATAGCTTGTGCTGAAATGTATGTTAAAAACAGTTAATTCTCGGTTCATTTAAATTTAATAAATTTAATTAAGAAGATTTCACACGAGACAAACCTTTAAACGGCGGCAACCAATTTGACAGCTCCGAGTATGGCTTGTACTGATAGTAAAGAGTCCAGAAAGTAGTATTTGATGTTGTAAAGTACGTTCTGACGTTCGTGATCGCTCTTATCTCCGGTATTTCGTGGAATTCAGGTGTCTGATTAAAGGCGTGCCAAGACATGGGTAGCTTCTGCTCCAGACACATCAGACCTTGATTAGGATCGAAAATGAACATGGTTTTGGCTTCTCTATAGCGATTCTCGGCTTGCAACGCCGTCTGACTGATGTCCATTATCTTGGAGTGTGTCAATCGGATGAGAGCCTCCATTTTGGCTTTGACCTCAAAGTAATCGCAGAAGTAGCTAATCTTGTCGTACAACTGCTCGAGTTTTTCCAAAGTATAATTTACGGAGGACAACTTCTTCAGCTCCTTTAATTCCGACACGATCTCATCGACAATGTCCTTGAGCTCTTTGCCAAACGGCACGAAGGCGAAGTAGCGCTCCTTTATAAATTGTATTATCAGACTCGAGTACTTGTGCACGTTGGTAATTATATCATTCGCCTTGATGTCGCGATAGACCTTGTCGATGTCCTGCGTAAAGTTGTTGAAACGATCAAAATACGGCGACGTGAAGATCTCTTTTTTGCGATCGTACAGGAAGTCCAGCATCTCTTTGCTCGCTTTCCAAACGAGAGTCTCGACATAATGAACGAACCGGATAAAGAGGGGTTCCATTAATCTTAAGAACCTATACCATTGCTCCGCAACGGACAGGAAAATCGTATTCCAGAGATTCTCGATGTACTTGATTAAAGACACATGCAGATCCTTGATGAACATGTCGTACTTTTCGATCAACTGCTCAATTATATTTGCCACCTGCGACACCGAATCACCTCTCAAAACAGCGGCGATGATTTCGGACACCTTGTTGTAAGCATTCTTAACGGTCTCGATCAACCAGAGCAGAGAGTTTCGCAAGGCTTCGCCAGACTCGCCCATTATTTCCCAGATTTCGTTTAGGATATTGGGAAGAGATTGAATGTGGCTCCGCAGAGATAGTTCATCAATGACGTACATGCCAAGAGTAACGATGTCCTTGATGTAGAAATCATTGGCGTTGTACGAGCTATTCAGATATATTTTGAATTCTTCGAAATCGCGTTCGAGAACTTTCAGATCACTAAGAGACAAATAGAATAGATATAATGTACATAATTATTTAACTAAATAATATACAAGTGATTACATTTTGCTCTTATTTTATTATTATTTTCTTTATATCACTTTTTTATTAATATTCTGGAACATACATGCAACGAAATGTCATATTTAACACACATATTTTTATACACTTACTTCCAATCATCGAGGAATCCCGAAATGTCACTCTGCGCGTCTTCCCACACATCTGTAATGGCATTTATTACTTCACTTTTTATGTATTGCTTCCAATAAATAATGTCATTGTCCATGTTTGTATACATTTCGTTGAAGCTCGTTTTTACAGTGGTCTGCAAGCAATTATGAAGTAATCACTAATCATATCGAGGTTACATCAAGCATTTAGTAGCTTTAATACATTCATAATAATATCACTTACAATAATATCGCTCTTTAGTTCGGGTCGCCATCGCAAAGTTGAAGTAACGAGTCTCGAGTGGTTTAACTTCAAATAAAAAGCGACGTCCGATATTGTCAGATCATCGTCGTAGGTTCTCCAAATATTGAATCTAGCGTTTCGAGCATCCGGAATGAAGCCATGCATTCTTAAACTCACAGTCGCATCTACAGAATGGAAATTATTGCGATAAAATACACGAAAAAGAATTAAGAGAAGAAGCAAAGAAAGAGAAATCTTTTTAGGTAATCTTACTTTTGAAATAATTTGTTGTAAAAATAAAGATAACGAAAAATTCAGATTAATTTTGGGTATTTATGCATTAATTTTGAATTAAATATTTTAATTTTGCTGATTTTTTTGTCCGAGTTACGTGATTTTAAAATGAACATTACATCTACATTCTGTGAAAAATAGCATTTACCATCGGTAGTAACATTAACGTAAAAAATTCAACTGCAAAGTCGTTCGTAATTCGAGCAAAGAAAAAAGCATAGCAAAATAAAAAAACGCGTTTTGTAGTTTTTCAAAATATTGTAATTTTTTTTATCGAACTGCAAAATTTTTTTATCGAATTGCAAAGTGTTGAACGTACGTAATTTTAAGACTAAAACAACATGTTCTTTTTTTTGAGCTTATATTAGAAGTGTAAAAATAAAAAATTAAAAAAAAAACGGTCCAACTGCATGAAAGTACAAACTTATTCAAGTTTTAAAATGCTTTTCTAATTTTTCGTCTGCGATAATTTTTCGAACGATAAGATTTCGAGCGTCTGAAAAGTGTTCTCTATTTTTTGTAGAGTAATGTATTAATTTTAGGAAAAAATTCTTCAAAATTAAATTTTATAGTTTTATCTTATGTAATTTTATCTCTTTAAAATTTCCTGACATGTAATACCTACCGGGTGTATAATTTACCATCATCCAGATGAGCTTTTCGCTCGGATCCAAGAAGAAAAGACCGGTGGTGTTAAGTTTTTCCGGCGTATTGATAGCGCTGCCGTTCACGACATATCGAGAAGGTGAAGGATAATACCCAATCTCGAAATATTTGATCGCTTCGTTGTTCGTTCGTCGGAACATCATTTCCCTCGATTCCCGATTGATCCGACCGATCAATTCTCCAGTTTCGCTCGGCATGTAACCGCGTTGGTATCGGGCGTGGTTCACCGTTTCGAACAGTACGTACTCTTGTCTGTGAACAAATCCTTCAACGTCAAGGTCCATTTTAGTGCTGATGTGTTTGCCGGCTATTTTGTAAAGATATCTCGTCTTCGACGCGTCGCTTTCGTCTCTCAACAACGCGGACAACGTTAGCAGTTTATTCTCGTCAGTGGAGTAATCCGCGGCGAAGACGACGTTTATCAGATCCTTTGCATCCCTTTTCCTCAAAACGCCCTTGAAAGTGACGTTTTTCTCGAAGGTAGGATGTCGGAAGGTCAGCACGGCTTGTTGCTGATTCTCCGTCAACGTTGCGGTGAGATTCGTCCAATTGAAGGCCGCGCCGACAGTTCTGGACTTCTCATCGTCGCGTTGCCATTGCAAGTCCGCTTCGGAGTTCACCTCGTCGTTGGTGATCTTGTAGGAGCCGTCCAAGGTGAAATTTCGCCGGGGATAAGACAAGCTGAGAATGAGGAATTGATTGTCCATATCTTCGGTGGTTTTGTTCAAGATGTTCACGTGATAAGATATCCAGGCGTCTTCGCTCACGCCCAGCCAGGCGTTCTGATCGAATTCGCCCGGCAACACCAGGTAGTCCGTTCTCAGTTGAATCGTCCTATTTGAGTGCATCGCTTTTAGCTGAATGTGCTGACCGGTATGGGTGGTGCGGATCCTCGATTCGGCGGCAATATTGAAGGCTGAGCTGTTATCCAGCCGATAAACATTGACATGCTTGAATTCGGTGGTAGGATAATTCGTACCCTCATTTCCACCGCTATACTCGTATTGGTTTATGTAGACGACGCAAATGGGTTTGTAAACGTTCTCCACTGTCACCTTGATGTTGTCCTTTTCAAAGCCGGCTCGAGATTCGCTTGTCGAATTGTATCGAGCGTGAAGTACTTTTTCGTCGTTGTAGACCAAGATGGAATGACCCGTCGTATGTTGCGGACGTTTTTTATAGCCGTAAGTTAAATGACCGATATGACGAGCGTTCAGAGGAACTTCTATATGAAGGATACCATCCATGTTTGAGTTCAGTCGCTCGCTGTGATAGCTGTAATCGGAGTTCAGCAAGGCTGTATTGTTCGGCCAGAAAAGTTCAATAAATCTTTTATTCTGTCTTCTGTAAATGAAAAAAAAGATAATAATCAGAAAAAATTAAAGAAATAAATAAATCTGCAAAAATTATTTCTAAAAGATTCCAAATAATACTATATTTATAAAATTATTTATACAAGATCAACAAACAGAATTTTTTAGAAAGCACATTAGGGACAAACAAATAATCTTAATAGAAATATTTTTTAATTTTTGTAAATATTCTGCAATTAAATCATTATTTTAAAAGTAAAAAGAATTTATTCTGTAGTGTAATTAATGTATACAATTTACTCACAAAGTAGTAAGCACAACAAAATTGCAGCCAACGTATGACAAGTTTTCTATAGATATTGTAGCGTTGAGAGTTCCATTGACATTAATTAAACTCTCATAAAATATCCTTGCACTTCCAATTTGCCGGCTCGGGGGGTAAAAGAGATCAACATTAATCAGATTCCGTTCATCGGAATTAGCATCGTAACTGAAGAGTAGCACGACTGTTTCCTCTTGACGAAACATTGGCGTATACAGAGAATACTTAAGTTCGATCTCCTTGTTATCAAAGGTGATGTTAAAGAGATTATTTACAGATAGTATTCCCCAAGTCAGCCGAAGGTGTCCATTAATATCACGCGTCGCTATTCGTATCTGAAATTTGACACAATTGTTGTATATTTGAGAAAATATCTTCTTTTTTTTAATTTATATACGTAAACATGCACGAAAAGAAAAATAATTTATTTCAGAATTTCTTATATTACACTAAACTCTCTATATAAAGTATTTGCAAATTAAAAATTTTTAAATTTACGAAACTTTAAAAATGATGTTCTAAATTAGTTTATTAGTTTGCACAAATACTTTTGATAGATCAGAAACTATTTATTCAAATCTGTATTATTGCGGATTATAATTTGATTTATTCATTAATATTTGAAAAAAATACAAACCGATCCGTTCGAGGCGTAATTACTCTTCGCTCGAACTGCGTTGTAGCCCACAACGTAAGAAATGTCGCTTGCGTTTTTGTTCGTGTGATAGCTGATTAGAAATTGATGGTCATCGTTATTCGGAGGAGGCAATTTCACCGCAAACACCGCATCGACGTTTTGTTGATTGCGGAAACCTATGGTCGCGTTTGCCCCGAGTTCCCACGCTTTTTGATTAAGATCCAAATCGAAGCCCATATTGAGGGTCCTGTACAATCGACCGGGATTCTTGTAGAATATATGAGTATTCACCTCTTTCGTACCCAGAACGGCAGTGTTGTATCCTGTCACTAATTTCACAAACATGTTTTCCATGTAGATCAGGGACCAACTCATAGCCGCGTGGCACCGATTCCTGTTGAATAGATTATTCAATCGAACATCGCCGCTGCTGTTAGTCAGCATCATGTTGCCATTAATTGTCGTGATTCTGCTGTCGTTCCAAGGTGTCTCGGCGTGAATGTACAGGCTGGCATTGCCGTTCACCTGCACATTCATAAAGGTGATTAATTTATAGGTCTCTACAGCGTCAGCCGTTTGGATGTCCGTACGAGCATTCACGTCCCAATTCAAATTATTGAGAACATTTGCATCGAGGCTGCCATTGAAGGATCCACCATTTACGTCCAGCAGCAAACCATATTTTTTTCTCCTCAATTCTAGGTTGATTCTATTGGCATTTGGCTCGCCCGTTGGAAATAGGCTGACGTTCATCGAAACCGGAGTGTCTTCCTGCATGAGAATGACGGAGTTGACATCGTAAAATTTGTTTTTCAACTGGTCTTTCAGTTTTCCGTCAATGTGATATATTGCTTCAGTTGCTTCCTTAATCTCTCTTAAATTTCCACGAAATTGGTAATGAGATTTCGAAAACGGCGTGTCCAAGTCGGCATCGACTTTACCGTTGTTCAAATTTCCATTTAATTGATATTTCTTGTCGAGATGTGTTAAATCTACGTTTAACTTAGCCGTATTGTTTATACGAATGGCGTTACTGTAAGAAATGTCGGTCTCCAATGACTTCAAAGCTTTTATCCAGCTTTCCAGCTTCGCGGAAACTGTTACAAGATGCTCATCTACCTGCCAGGCGGACTCTAAGGACGTCTAGAAAAATAGTGGAACTCGGATATTAATTTTATTTTATTTAATAGTAATTTAAAATTTTAACAAAACTTAAAATCTTTGACATTAATGTGTGCTATGTTAATTTATAAAAATGGAATTATTACTAATTTAATCGATAATAATCTGTCCTTTTATTATACTTATTAATACTTACGTATTTTGATACAGGTTCTTCCATCCCTGCGCTAAATTTAAACTGCTTTTTATTTCCGGTAAAGTCTTTCTTTACAGTGATAGTGCTTTTCGGTATTTTTATAACGGATGCGTTGATTGCACCCGAGATCATCATATCCAGTAAAGCGTTCTCTAGCTACACAAAAAATATTGTTTTCTAATTTTCCAATTATTTATTTATAAATTTTGAGACAAGGAATTGTGCGAAGCTCACCTTAATTTTTCCGGACAAATCTATGACTAATTTATTCCCACGAATGATAACTGTACCATTGTACAACTTGCCTTCAATATCCATGATTGCATCAATGTGGATATTATTCAGAGGTTCTATAGGAGTTTTTAAACCAAACTTCACCATATGTGTCACTTTATCATCGTTTTTAATTGTATAATTTCCATGAAACCCAGTCTGTGTAATAGAAAAACTTATGCGTTTAGTATATTTTTGATAATTTTATTGATTTATGTTTGTAATTGTGAAAAAATATAAAATAATATTGATTTTTATATCAGCGTAATTACCTCGATCCATGTATTATTTTTCTTAACGTTTACGTTCATTTCCATAAAATAGGTAGGATTTTCCATATCAATTAGAAACATGTACGACGATGTTAGCTCTCGGATATTACTGAACGTTAAATCAACATGTAAATCATTCTTTATGTGAAAGACATCTTCCATGGTAAAGCTGTCGTCTATAATAATTTTTCCGGGTGGTAATGATATTGTGCTTAGAACTTTGTACATATCGCCTTCGGTATCTATATCTAGCTCTCCTAAGATATCCGGCATTATCGCGGGCCATATCTATAAATTAAAAACTTATGTATGTATAATGACATATTTAATTTGCAATATTATGTTAAGATACTATAATTATGTTTGAAAATTAATTTTTATATTAATATTCTATTATATAAATTATAAATTGATATAAAATTATATAAAATTACTCCTAAGTTCTTATTAAAATTTTTGTATACGTACAATTCAATTTTAAACTCGACATAAAAATATTTTTGCAATCAAATTTTTACTTTTAAATTTTATTTCAAACATTACTTATCCGAATTGCGATTACCTGCAGTTCTCCTCGCCAATAGAGACCATTCTCATCGTCTTCTTCCTCTTCCTCTTCTTCTTCCGATTCATCGACCTCAGGATCATCCGTCGTGGGCACTATAATTCTCATTTTTACCGGAATCTTAACGGGCGGAGGTTTCGGTCCACCCTTAACCTTTATACCGATCTTGTTGTTTGCCAGTCTCAATGAAAACTCCGTATCAACATCCAGCATACCGTCGGGCTCCGTACGCGCCACAATCAATTTTGTGATTACACCGCATTCCTGCAAACCTTTCAACGGCGTAAACACTATGTAACTGTAATCGAAGTCAGTGATGTTGCGGTAGTGCCAAGTGCCGAGGAAGCCTGCCGTAATGTTGTTATAACCGATTCTGAAGTCGGCCTCGCGCCGATTCAACTTGGCGATCACGAGAGCCTTCTGCAGTATTTCGATTGGCGTCGCCAGCATCAACTTGACGTTAAAGTCATAAGTGGCGGTGAGAATCTGGCACAACGCTTCGACGCCCAGTGGGCCATTTGGTGTGACGACCTCGGCTACCATGTGCCGATTGCGCTCCGAGAGGCCGAACCTGCCGCGCACGAAGGCGAATTTCTCCAGCGGCGTAGTGGCGTTAAATTCGATCTTGGATTCCTTCCAGCGTACGAGGTCGCCAATCAGACGGCCGGTGTACTTGCGTTTGTCCAAGTCAAGATTAGCCGCACCGAAGAACTTCCAGCTGCTCATCAGACGTAGCTGGCATATGAACTCGCTCTTCCGGTAGCTCGCCAGAGGCGAGTACAAATGTAGATTGCCGGTCAGATTGAACACATTGTCTGATTCCTTGTCCAGCTGCCAGACGCTGCGCGCGTCGATCGTCTTGTCGGGGTCGTACTTGATCAGCACATGTGTATCCGTTATTTGCGAGCGTAACACCTTGTGAGTGACATTCACGGTCATCCAGGTGATAGCGTGAACAGTGCTGATCAAACCGCAGTTTGCTGTCCACTCTTTCAAATCTTCTTGCTCGTTCGTACTGGCAAATAACTCTCCCATCACATGCTGAGAGTCTTTCCAGTGAACGCTTGTGCTGGCTGAAATCTTGTCGGACAGTTGTAAATATCTGCGAAAAAACTAGGATTAATATCTTGTAACTGTAAAAACTATTTTTAAATGTAGCTTTCTTCAGTTCGAATTTTATTACATTAATTAGAAAAAAAATAATAACATGTAATTAAAACATTATTATAATTGATTATAACCAACATTTGGCTATAATCAATACATTTGTATTTTTTTTATATTATAATTGCAATAATCTTTTAAATTTATTGTTACATGTAAGTAAAATCAGTCAAAAATTGAGCGCACACTTACTTTGCGTTTAACGCGGTTTTCTTCCATTGCTCGAAAGGTGTTAAAAGCTGCGATTCTAACTTGACAGATATCATTTCCGGTTGAACGTCGTAATCCGCGCCGATCGATACTTTAATTGCATCCTTAGGGCTCCAGTTTAGATTAATGTCCGCTTGATAATTGTGCGGACTACGGACGACTAGATCACACGAGCCGATCACTAGTCGACCCGGATAGGTCAGCGTTATCATTGCGTTTCGCTTGATGCCGGGTGAAGCTGCGTCCAATATATAAACTTTACTCAACTGCAACATTGTGCCGACTTTCAAGGCGGGGTCTCTGTTGGCGTCCCATTTAACTTCCGCCGCGAATTCCTGCCGATCTATCTCATTGATGCCACTTAGGGTCAAATGCACGTCTCTCCAATTGTCCAGATGCAGCTCCAAGCGGATCTCTCGCGTGGTATCCACATTTGTCATCAACGAATACACGGTGTTATGATACCTGGCTTCCACGTAAGACATCAAGCTGGTCGCCGATAGCACCGTGTGATTCAGCACGAAAGCGTACTTGTTGTAGTCCACCTGTTCGGCATACAAGCTAACCCTGATGTCACTGTGGTTCTGGTACAAGTGGCAGTTGAGTAGAATCGGGGTGACGAAGCTCAGCGACTTGAAAATCATCTTTAGGTGGTGGTTGACGACAACCACCGACGATCTGTCGGAGTAAGTGCCGCGTGCGGTCATGTTGTGACCACTGAACCACGTGCCGAAGAACTCCAGCTCGTACTCATTTTGTAATCGCTCCATAATGCGCACATCTATCAACATCGAGTTGAAGTTTGGGATCGTCAGATTTGTGTGGCCTTCCATAGAGAACAGCAAACCGCGCGGCATAATAAGGTTGACAATTAGACTGATCTCCTTGCCTGCAAACAAAAAGCTTCTTCAATATTTGTTACAATTAATTAAATCTTGCTTATACACTATTTTCCCTCCCAAAAAAGTATTTAATATACGGCCGCACCACTCTGTTGCGTCGAGACGTTCAGATGCTTAATAAAATTGAGCTATTTTTCAACTGCTGTAACGCGGCAAAAAATCATCGTAGACAAAAAATTAAAAAAGCTTGAAATTTGTACTATACATGTTTTTAGTCATTCAAAAAAGTTTTTTATTTGTACAGTTTTGAACTAAAAAAAAACACTTTGTTTTGTTTCTAAAATTACGTACTTTCAACACTCTGTAGCTTAAGTAATGTAGCTGTAATAAAAAAATGTTTTTTCTGCCGATAGTAACTCAATACTTGTCATAAATCATTATTTTGTCATAATTTTGAAAGAAAAATTTTTTTATCGGGTTGTAGAGTGTTGAACGTACGTAATTTAAAAAATAAAATAATATGTTCTTTTTGGATTTATATTATATTAAAAGTGTAAAGATTGAAAATTTTCAAAAGACGGTCTAAAGCATGTAAAAGTAACTTTAAACTTTAGAATGTTTCTTTAATTTTTATCCGCGACGACTTTTTGCCTAGTTTCAGTGGTTTAAAAATTGCCCGAGATTTTCTAAAAAGTGTTCTCTATTTTTTGTGGAGGAATATATATATATTTAACAATAAATCTGTACCTGGAGCGTATCCTACGAGCAAACTGGTCTTCGACTCGGGGCCGAGAGAGTAGTGATTGACTCCCACTTTGATGTCCAAGTTCTGAATGGGTTTGGTGACGGCTATCAGCGCGCTCACCTTTGTGCCTTGATTTTGAAAATACATATTTGAGTAGGAAATGATCAGCTGCGCTGTAAGTTTGTGTCGATCGTCCTTGAGATGCGGATTGGAGTTCACCTCGGCATGCAACTCGAGATGGCCGAGAGCTTGTTGATACCAAGCATTAATCGCGGTGTTGAGTTGCGGATAGGCAGTAGAGTGTAGCTTTACATCGGCAGTCTTGTGCGTGAGAGTTTTCGACGAACGATTGGATAACGAAATCTCTAAGTGTAGACTCTCTTTCTTTGGCATACGTTGTAGCTGATAGTCTAACTGGAAATCTCCGGCCAGACTGATGTTCCGCTTGACGACATAGCCGACTAGGTTGCTCCAGACTCGCTTTGTTTGAAAAGTTAAATTTATATCGAATTGGGAGACGTTGTTCTTCTGCGCATGTCTTATCTCACCTAAACAATTTGAATTTTTCTAGAGTACCAGTGGTATGTTTATAACATAATCATATCAATAAAATATATAACAATTGATTGTAATTGAGGATTTTAGAATAATTGGTAATAAAAATAAAGTTCTTTAAAAGCCGAAGATAACATAAAGAAAGAGTTAATAAAATTAAAAGCTTAGTTGTTTGATTGTAAATACAATTGTATGCGACAAAATACCTAAAATGGCAGCGACACGTTCGCTATTGACAGTCAGATGCACATTAGGTTTATAGGTATAGCCGTAATTAAATTTTTCCGTCGTATAGCCTATACTAGCATCCAAATGCTTTGTGCCATTTACATTGAAACCAATGTCTATGGAAGTCTCATTTTCGGAACGTTTATATGTGCCTAAAAGCATATAAATATTTCTATTAATAACAATTTGAGAAAACTAAATATTTAGTCACAAAACACTGACCTTTAGCAATTACAGAATTACCAGCTGAATGAAGCAGAACAGTAACGTTATTATTTAATATATCAAAAGTAACGGTAGCGCTGATTTCTCTGTTCACCTGCGAGCCTGGTGTGTCGAACATCAACTTAAATGTGCTATGTTCCTAGAAAACAGTTAATTAAAAGCCATGAAAAATAATATTCGCTTTAATATTTAAAGTCTTCAAGAGTTTACTATAATTTTTATTAAATATTAATATTAATTTTTATTAATATTATAATAAAACAGCAAGAATTATTAGTATGAGAAATTAAAGCTTTTTCAATATTTGATTTGTAAATAGAAAACTATATACAACTTCTATATCACACCTGAGTTTTGTTCCATTTATATTCCAACACGTAATTTTTTGCGGTCGGATCAGCTTTAAGCAAATAAGTTTTAAAGTACGTAAGTCCGTTCAGAAGAAGAAAAGGTGCATTAGAATCGCCAGTCATGTTCGTGAGTTGATATTCGGCGCACATTTTCAAACCTATAAATGTATGCAACTCAGGCCAGCTGCAATTGGTATTAGTAATAACAGTCCTGGGTTTCTCCAGCGTCTTTTCCTCAATCTCGGCACCGTTGCCTTTGATTAAAGCTACATCCGAGACCAACGAGAGCACCTCTATCTTGCGATTTGGTAAACCCAGACTTATACGCACTAAGCGAGTATTATTTAGGTTTAGATGAAACTGCAGATTTCCCGAGGAATAAACGTTCGTGCGCAATTTAAGTCCAGCGGACTTGTAAAAAGCATCTACTGTCATCGTGCTCACCATGTCGACGCTTATGCTGCAAAGACATAATATTAAATAATATAAAATATCAGAGAAATAGAAGAAACTTAATTAATTAAGAACCGGAAAAATAATATAAATTAATATGAGAGTTATTCCTCTAAAAGGCAAATATCTCTTACAAATTTCAAGTAAATAAGATAAAGAAATATATTAGCGTGAAAAAGTATTATAGAAAATAATATTAAATCGTTGAAATTTTGGAGAATATATATATGGAAGAAGAACCTAGATGCAATATTAGCGTTGAGTTGGAACTCTCTAGCGGAGAGTCGAGCGTCATTGAGCATCTTCGAGATTTTGAAATTGCAAGCCGCGGAACCGGCGAGATCCAGACGAATCGGCAAACCAGATCCCATCGGCACAACATAAGAGGAATCCAAAAACATTCCAGTTCTTTCATAGAGGATTTCTTGCATGGCCAAGAACTGTTTCATCTTCTGCCAAGGATTGAAGTTTGCCAGCGCGGCCGTTACTTCCTTGTCGCCGTCAAGCATCATAAACTTCAATTCGTTTCCGAATATCTTTTGCAACAAAGAAAATGCAGTAATATAAGAATTTTAGCTTGTAAATAAATTATATCGTACAATTTTGCAGTTTATCATAATAGACATATTATAAATGTTATTAGCGTATTACTCTCGTTTATAATAATTATCATTTTAATAAATTTAATTTAAGTAAATCTTAAATAATCGACAAATATATATTATTTTTTTTTTACCTTATAACCAAGACTGATTTTTGGATGGTCAAAATTATTATCGATAATATTAGGCAGCCGTTTCACACCGTCCCAATAATTCTCTTTCTTTTCCGGCGCTGATCTAAAATATCTGAGGAAGTTCCGAAGGTGATTCGAGATATTTTCATTGCTGTAGATGCCATTCGGGCCGAAGATATTCTCTGCGTAATATTCGAGGCCCTCCATTCGCGCCGTGATCTCGAATAGATTAACAGACTGACCGAAGAGATCGGTTGTCACATTAAATGTGAGCGATCGTGGCATGTACGATTTAGGCGAAAAAATCAAATTGGTCTGATAATTAGCACCGATATTGTACTCTTCGGAGAAGAAGGAGTTCTCGTAATTACGCGAGAACTTTCTAATGTCGTTATTAAACTTATTGTCGAGATCTTGATCCGTCAACAGGCTTTGAATCTCAACTCTAGTGGGCGAAGCAGAGTTGTAAAGATTTGTCAAGTGACTCCATACGAAAGAGCCGACTGAAAATTATTAAGAAAAGGAATTAGAAATTTGACCAATGCTACTCCTTATTGCTAGAACCTTATAAATTGTGACAAAAAATAATTTAAAAGCAAATAAAATGATCTAAAGTTTATTGGAGTAATTTAAAATAAATTTGAAATACTAATTTTTTAAAATGCAGACCTGAGTTACACTTTTCTATCCGTGATTACGCGCGCGAAATATTATAATAGAAATTAACAACTTAATATTTGAACGGTTCAATATTAAAATTAATATACAAACCTTGGTTGACTTCTTCTGTTTTTAGAGTATGCTTGATGGTCTTTATAACGCTGTAGTCAGGGCAATGCATCACTTGCAAGTAAGAGGCGATACGGATTTCCGTGTCTAACGTCATGTTACGGTAATAATCGAGGAAGAATTGATCCCGAGTTTCCTCGCAGGACTTCAGTCTACGATGCGCGTCAATAGCGGCAACGCGCACTTCCATAGGTAAAAATCCACCGGTGTCGTCTATGCATTTTTTCAGTTTATTTCGCAAGTTCTTCGTCTCAAGCCCCATATTTCCAATTGCCTTCAAAGCTTCCAGCGTCTGTAATTACAATTGCATTAGTCTTTTTTCGTAATGTGATTATTGAGTTTTATTGCAACTGTTAAAATTTATTTTTTACGTTATACACAATACTTTATCTTTAGTAACTAAAATCTATCTTGCAAATAAAAAAAGATATGGTAAATATTTTACCTCTTTCGTCGCGAGAGAAGTATGAAGACGAGCCGTGCAGCCTTGAGAAATTTTCCGCTGCAGGTGAGACAAAAGCAGGTCCACTTCCTCCAAATCGATGCAATTGACATCGTTATTTGCGCAATATGTATGAATAATAGTAGAGTAACTTAAAATAAACTGGGTTTGAGGGATTTGATTCTGAAAGTTTAGCAATTGCGAAAGAGCCTTGATAGTGTCGCGATCCGGTCTCGGGAACAAAGCAAAAGTGATGACCCAGTCATTGATAATCTCTTGATTAATCTGTTTCTTTAAAATCAAGTCTCTCATTAAATTTATCGCAGTGTTGCTATTTAGATACGGAAGTGCTGCGATGATATGTTTCCTGTTAGATAAAAAAAAAGCGAAATATATAACTTAAAAGAAGATATCAAATTATATCGAGTAAAATAAATTTGTGGTAATTTTAATTTTGTGCGAATTTCTTTGAATTTTTTTTTTTTTTTTTTTGACTAGAACAATATTATATTTGAATAAAGAGTGGCAATTACGTACTGTCCATTTTTGCAAATGCTATTAGCTCTCGCAAACAGCTGTGACAATGAGGGATAATCTAGAAAGCGAGCCGAATGGACGAAATTGGTGAACATCTCGGAGAATCTCTGCTGCAGCTCGTCGGCATTCGCTGCAAGTCTGCATATGTTTTTCAGCAGATCCCTAGAGGTGCGCAATTCGCCGTGCATGGTTTTTAATGTTTTTGCATGATCGTACAGCAATGTGGTTCTCTTCGTGCGAAGTGCGCTGCCAATAAAATTGTCTTCACTTTCATCATCGTTGTCTTCGTTTTCTTCAAATTCCTGAGAGAAACTGGTCTTCGCCGACTCCTGAATCAGCTGAAGAACCATCCGAGACTCCGTCCTAGCGCCAGATTTGCCATTGGAAAGCGGCTGCAATAATCGCGTCTCTTCGCAGACTACTCTCTCGTAGACATTGTGGTCGATTGTAATCACGCAGTTGCTGCGAGATTTGAATAATCCGTGCTGTCCGCGTTGTCTCTGCGGGCTTTTGTAGAAGTTTGACTGTATGACGGAAAAATATTTGGGCCCATTTCGGCAATCGGCCAGGTTCTTGCTCTTCTTCACAATTAGGCTGGTTCGCTTAGCCTCGTACAGCCGATATTCAGTCTCGCAAGTGCCGTAAACATCCACTTCTTCAATGCGATGATCTATGTCGATGCGCTGCATGTTGTTCTGCAGCATCGACAAAATGCCCCGTTTTAGATTTAGCGACCAGACCGGCTCTCGCTGATCCGGGCACAGCTCTTGAATCAGTCCGTCATCGAAAGTAAACTTCAACGCAAAATGCTCGAGGCTGGCCTTGAACTCGGAGTCGGCATGATCAGGAAACTCGGCGTTGTATGTGCTACGATCGTGACTGATAGTGGCATTCAGGATCTTTAAAATTCCCTCGCAGGGACTGTTAAAATGTACGGATAGCGCGGCATCAATGTGCAAAATTGCGTCCTTTCTGGGCTGACCACTCCAACGGCGATAGCCCAAATTCGTGTTTACATCTACGGAGTACGTGTACACGTAATGGATACCTTCTTGATATTTAAACTTTCTCTCCGAAGGAACTAAAAAAAATAATTAATTAATTAGAAAAAAAATATACTGTTCGTGTGCGCTATTAATGCAGTATGATGTTAATTATATATTGTTAATTATAATTACGTATTATTCTTTTATTTAATGCATATGATAAGAAATGTACGATCTATTTCAATTCAGCACTTTAGTCTTTGTTCGAGAACTTATTTGATAAAGATAAAATTATTGAAGATGTGGAAGAAAATCATAAACAAGAAATGATAGAAGATTATTCTGAGAAATTATTGGTTAATACTTAATACATCATATTTTAGTAAATAGTTTATTTTCTATATCCTCGCACTCTGTTATCTGTAACTACGCATTTGTTTTAAAAAATAAAGAGATCAAAGTTCTCCATTTTTATATAAACGTATTATTACGTACTATTGCATTAATTTACTGTGTAAGCAATGTAAGGAAAAATAGAAATAAGTATACAAAAAAATAGTCAAAGTTATTATATATATTCATTTGCCAAAGATAAAATTATTAAAGATGTGGAAGAAAATCGTAAAAAAGAAATATCAAAAGATTATTCTGAAAGATTATTGGTTAATATTTAATACAACATATTTTAGTCAAACTAATTAACAATTTATAAACATATTAGAATTTGCAACAAATAATACAATAAGTTATATTATTTACATATTTATACAAGTTATTAGTTTAGGTTAAAGTGTAACATACTTTTTTAAACTATATATTTATAATAATACTCATTAAATAAATTAGCATTAAGGTTTAAAATTTTAGGTCAAAAAAACATGATAAATAATTTTCGAAAAACGTAAGTCGTTTTAATGGAAATAGATCTTCGGCTTTTGATTCAACAAGCTAACGTGGCTTATAAAGAAAACGATAAATTGTCAGGAAATGTAACTCAAAACTTTGACGGAAATATGATAAGGAAATACATCACTGTGTTAGTTGAAATATGTAGATATTTAAGAATACTACTTACGTTTGCATTTTGTTCGGCCACATTGTGTAAAATCTTTGGTTATTTCTGTGAAAATAAAAAATTTTTTAACGTTTTATGCAATATATAAAATTCACTATATTATATGTTAATGTATCAAAATTTACGACAAAATTCAGAATTTCAATTTAAATTATTTAATTTTAACGTCTAAATTTATTTTAATAAATAAATTCAGACATTAAAATTAGATCATATAAATTAAAAATTCCAAATTTTTTAGTATATAAATTTTAATATTAATAAATTGTGTTATTTTAAAGAATATATTATTTATTGCTATTAAATATTGTTAATATATTTTTAAATAATACATTTCTTTTTGAATCACATAATTATATTTTTCCAATGCATTTTTTACTGTCTTTTTTTATAACACATTATATAATGCCTAAATAGATTTTACGTATGTATTACGTATGCGATTAGTATTATTAAATAAAAAAAAAAATATATAAAGAAAAGTTTTTATTTAGTAAATATTTATACTTTATATTTTAAGATTGTTTTTTTAGAGCTACATTTATTGATAATGCAATTCTAATAATTCTTATTAGAGAGAAGAATATCTATTACAATACTTCATCGTTCAATAACAATAACATGTAAATTAATAAGATACCGGACGTTGCAATAAATATATCGAAAATTGGCAGTAATTACCTCCTTGCACGGCAGCTAATACTGCATATGCGAACACAAAAAGTAGCACCGCCCTGACCCTCATAGCTTTGGTGTCAATTTTCAAATTCTATCGTAAGAAATTTGATCTTCTAGCGTGTTTTTATTCTTACATGGTATTCACACATCGAGATGGACCATTGATCTGTTGAGAAATTTGCTTCGTTATCTCACTGATCAACAGAACTGTATTAATCAATCTTAATAGACCATTAATAAACTAATTATTAAACACTCGCAGAGTAAATAAATTTCCACAATATGTAATTCTTGCGTTGATCACCACTCTTTCATTTTTTTAATTAATGTTCAGAGACACTGTCTTCTCAAGTTCTTACCGTTATTTCTCGCAATACATGAAGTTCACTTAGATCTACAAAGATCTATCCTGAATTTATCGTTACTCGCGGCTGGCCGAACTCTTTCTCCCGTGACGAAAATGCCTGCTATAACTACCTAGAAAATAAACCGGGATGCGCGTATCAGCGATTTGATTGGAGACGAAGCCCCGGAGGTAGAGAGAGTGTAGCGTCCACAGTGTGCTTTTAAATAAGTATTTCCGCCGTTGTTGGCCGACCGACGAAGAGTCCAGTAGCGAGAGAGCAGATCGGATGCTAAAGGTCTTCCGATGTTTTTTTGTGTTTGTGCACGGGTCAGAGGTCGGCTTTTCTCCGATAAGATATCAACTCATAACGAGATTCTACCAAGAAGCCTATCGTGCGTAACAATATAAGTTAATAAAGAGCCATAATCGATGATTTTGACTTTTTTTTATTAATTTGACTGACAAAATGAGAAAGTAAAATTAAAAAAAATATTTTTATTTAGACCGGAAGAATATACAACTTAAATTATTCTATAATTGTATTTTGTTGAGTCAATGTCGTTAAAGCAATTTTCTTAAGTATAAACTTTTTTACATTAAATATTACAGTAAATACGATATATAAATGCAATAAATATATTATATGTTTTTTATATATAAAATCAACTGTTCGGACTGTTTTAAAGGTAAGAAAAAAATTTCTTTATTTATAAGATAAATGTAAACTAAATAATTAATTCCAAATATTCACATTTAAAATATATTTGAAAATAAGATAAACTGTAGTCTTTACATATCTTTTATTTTATACATTTTTAATAATTTTACAATTTTTTGAGCGTGCGAGTTTACAATAGTATCAATAAATCATTGCGCACTCGGGAAAGAATGTCGCAACGGAAACTGCGTACCCGTTCTCGAACCGCTGTACAATTTTGAATATTGTGAAAGGGATAACTAGAGTGAATGGAAGGAAGATTCCTGTAAAAGTAGTTGCTTAAATAAATCCAAAGGCATGTTAGTCAAACGACGTTTTTGCAGACACCGGACTTACAGAACGGCAAATTACAAAGGACCATATTATAAAGTGGTTCTGTGCGATGACTCCAGACTTTGTACTGAAAAACGCGAAACGATTGCCAAGTATACTGCCAAGAAATGCACCAAATTTAATTTATTAATGAAAAAGTTGTTGAGCAAAGAAGATGTAAGACACACAAACAAGCCAGGATGGCAGTCCTTTTATGATGTGCAACCGTGGACAGCTGTACTATATTCTGTCAACGAAGTGACAATATAGATATTTACGACGCACCACTCGAGGAAATGCTCAGCTTAGGAATCGACTTATACTTTTCAAATGGAACGTGGTGTCACCAGAAGGATGGCCAGAATTATTACTGCCGCCAGCATTATTGTCTGCCGGAAAACTATTCAATCAAAGAATAATTGTCGAGAGCCTCCGACATGTGTGGACAAGGATTTGGGAGAAAATAAAATTGCAAAATGCGCATAAGTAAATTTAAAATTGTTTATAATTTGTTTAGTATCTAACCTAGATCCCGTTAAATTATCGTTATTCCTTTTTATTTTACGCAGTAAATGAATTTTTTGTTAATAACAAATTTATAAAAAATATATGTAGAATTACCGACATCAAAAACAAATTCATCTTTACTATTAATAAGATAAAGAAATTAATAATTATCAATTGTCATACTTATAAAAAGAAAGTATAATGTGTTAAAACAGTTTTACTTAAGTCCATAAAATTATTATTCTTTACCATTTTAAGAATTACTAAATTTATTTATTCGAAATTAAAACATTACTGTCAAATGGAGTTAATCACAATGGCTTCTGAAGTAGTTTATGTATTATTTATTAGCAATAAAAAATTTGACTATCTCGAGGTGATAAATAGAATTATCAAAGTAATTTATTTAATTTTTTAAAAGTTAAGCATCAATCATGTGCTTTGGTAACATTGAAAAAAATTACAAAAAGTGGAGTTAGTCACTTTGGCTTCTGAGCTGCTTAAATATAAAACTCATTTTTTGGTAAAATTTTAATAAATTAGTATCTTTATAAGAGAACAATATTTTAGCTCGAACGTGAATTCATATAAATTGCGATTAATCGCTCTCAGATCGATCAGTCGAAAATTCTATGTTTGATATAAACCTAACTTAACCTCACTTGAATCTTTACTCCGCATGCGCGAGTATGTCAGTTTGTACGTGACGGGCGGCACTATGGCGTTTGTATTTACAGTTTTTCGAGCGAGATTTCGTTTTGCAAGTGCGCTGTCATTAGCGAGTTTTGTGTAAGAGTAGTACATCACGAAATTAATGGTTATCGACGATCGACGACGACCGGTTGACCGCGGTATGAGGCATCGTATCATGCCTGCGCCTTCGGTCGGCTTTGGTGAACATATTGAGGTTGGTTTTTTGAATTTGCACCGTTTGCGCCGACGCTACCCATGGCAACGTGTGCATTCAGTAATAAACAATACTTCCCGCTTGTTCCAGGAATACGAAGTGCTGGATCTACTGGGCAAGGGCGGCTACGGAAGTGTTTATCTAGCAAAATGTCTTCGCAGTGGCATGGAAGTTGCGATCAAAATGGTAATTCATTTGTCCGTTTTTAAAAATGAGAAACTTTCTCCAGTCTGAGGAGATATTCTTCAGTTGCATTAAAATCTACAAATTGAGATTCTAGTTTCTAAGTGTATTCCATTTCAACTATATAAACGTCAGTTTAGATAAATACTTGCGATTAAGATGTAGATATAATCTCATTTATCAATATAATAAAATTGGACATATTGAACAAACAAATTGAAAGTAATATCAGTTTTTAATGCTTTGAATCCATAGACAGCAAATTATGCAGACTTAAGATTTATTATGGAGTTGTACTAAATTATTGATTTAAAATAAACAATGATGTTTGTGTTGCTTCTTTATACTTGTTGATTGTTATAGATCGACAAGAAAATGATACAAGCTGTTGGAATGGTGGATAGAGTAAATCAAGAAGTAAGGATACATTCACAGTTAAAACATCCAGCTATCCTGGAGTTGTACAGATATTTTGAAGATAGAAACTATGTATACCTAGTTTTAGAATTATGTCACAATGGAGAGTTTCAACGCTTTCTCAAAACACAAGGTGCCAAAGCTTTGTCCGAAGAGAATGGTACGTAAACTTCTATGTATGATAAAATATAAATTTTTAGTTGTAATTATCATAATAAAATTTTATTGCACTGTTTTAGCTGCCCATATAATTAGACAAGTTGTACAAGGTTTACTTTATCTACATTCTCATCAAATACTTCACAGAGATTTGTCACTGTCCAATCTACTTTTGACCAGAGATATGCAAGTGGTATGCAGAAATATAATATTTCTTATGAAGTAAAAATTTTGTTTTTTAATGTGACTTTTGTCTGTAGAAAATTGCGGATTTTGGATTAGCCACACAATTAAATAAACCAGATGAAAAACATTTGACTATGTGTGGCACACCAAATTACATCTCACCAGAAGTGAGTATCATTTAAAAATATCATTTAATATCAATTAAAAATTATCATTTCAAATATTATTTAGATATCATTTAAAAATTATTAAACTGCAAAACTAACAGCAACAATCATGTAGAATTAATGTTGCACAAATTTTCAGGTTGCTACAAGATCTTCACATGGCCCGGAAGCAGATGTGTGGAGCTTGGGATGTATGTTATATACTTTGCTGGTGGGCATACCACCATTTGATACCGAGGCTGTTAAAAGTACCTTGACTCGAGTAGTTATAGCTGATTATGTGATACCGCCACATTTATCAAATAATGCGAAAGATCTGATTGATAAATTGTTGAAAAAGAATCCAAAAGATAGGATATCCTTGCGAGATGTCTCTAAGCATCCATTTATAACAAATATAGAAAAAAATAGGCTATATAATGTAAGTAATGATGTATTAGTGGAATAGTAATATATAATATTAAAAGTATCATTTTTATACTTAAAAATATTGACTATTAATAATATTAAAAAAAATAGTATCATAAAATTTAAATTAATTATGTTTTAAGGATTGCTTGTTGCATTTTTATTTTACATTTTATTTATTTGTAGGAAAAAAACAGTATGGATAAAAACTCATTAATGGATGGCATGATGGATTCCGGGCTTGGAAGAACACTATCGTCATATGGCCGGCCTAAAATGCGATCCCGATCAGAGGAAAGAATGACTACGACGCCGATAATGCCTATCACCAGTATGAGAAGCGAGGCATTATCCGAGCCCATTGCAAAGTTGCATTCGAATATAGCGAGATACATGAATCACTGTGCAAAAGAAGACTCTGTATTGACGAGCATTCCAGTATCTCGCAGTAGAGTGTTGTCGCAGAACGAACAGTATGGTGATTGCAATGGACATGATTGTTTGGAAAGGCAGAAGGTTATAGAAAGGCACAAGCTAAGAAAAGAAAAATCCGTGGAAAATCGTAATATTGCAAAGGGAACTGAAGAGAGCATAAAGTTACAAGTGTCGCCCTTAAATTCCAACAGGCTACAACCCACCAGGCACAGAACAAAAACTGCAATTCTCACAATTCTAGACAACGGAGAAGTGTGCATCGAATTTATTAAGCGCAAAAACGGCATGGTATGTAGGAAAAAATAATATAAAAATTGTAATGTAAATATAATTCTATATGTTTCTATAATGTCATAATATGTATAACGTACACATATGTCTGTATGTTACTATAAATATATAACAAGAGGACGAAAAGTGTAAAAATATAAAGTAATGTTACGTATTACGTAATTTTGGTATTATAGGAAAAAGTTAGTGAGGTGTGTAGAATATCAGGCGATGGTCTACGAGTCGTTCTCTACAAACTGAACGTACCTGCAGAGATTGGTTCGCAACCACCACCGTTACCTAACCGAGGTGCCGACAGCATTTACTCGTACGAGAATTTACCGGCCTGTCATCATCGGAAATACATGTATGCATTTATTTTCGTAAAATTGGTTCAGGCAAAAACTCCGAAATTGACGCTGTATACACAATGTGCAAAATGCCTGTTCATGGAAAATGGTCCGCAGCCTGATTGTGAAGTGCATTTTTATAATGGAATAAAGGTAAACAGTCGTCAAAATCTATCGTTGACTTTTATACATTATGTATTTTGTATATTTTTTGTACTATCTTTCTATGTGCATCTTAAACTATAGAAAATTGCAAAAAAACAGTATTTACATTGTTATTTCTTTATTATCATAATTTAATTATTTAAATTCTTGTTATTTTATATTTTCTTACTTTATTTTATATAACTTTATGAAAATGTTTCAGATTGTTCGAATGAACAAGATCGTAAAAATCACTGAGAATAATGGCAGTGCGTTTTTCGAAGGTGAATTCCCACCACATCTCGAAAATTATTACGAACATTACTCAGAGTGTTATCAGCGTTGCCTACTTTTGGAATCCACTCTGACATCTTTGGAAGCAGCCACTGGGCATTCCTGTTTTCCCGTGATAGTCGGACGAAGGCCCAGTACGGCTTTAAACGATACTCCCTATCTGCAGGGAAAAGAAAATATCTCGCCTATTACGGACAGTTCTCCAGTCGTAAGTAACAAAGAATTTGTGTTTAATTTTTCATTATAATAATTTGCTTCTTTACCAAATTAATGTCTATTTTAGTTACCATCATTTGGTGCCACCTGCTCCATTATTTCTACGGTGGCTTCAAGGTCGCACAAGAACTCCACGCATAGTTCTTATAATAACGCGAATAAGATAGCAGTGCCAGGAATTGGTTTTGCTACGAAATTATCATCAGGCGATATTAGAGTCGATTATAAAGATGGATCTGCTTTAACTGTAAGTTATTGTCAAGTAATATGTTAATCTGCTTTATTATGTCCTCTAGCTATTCTATTTTCTAACTTAGTTAATGTACTTTAGTGATAGATTATACATTATTTATTTGTTAATCGTTTAATGTTGACAATCCTTTTTGTTTTATAGATTAATTCACCAAATCATGGCAATGGCATCACATATGAGGCTACAGATGGTACTGTTATGCGGTACAATAAATATCAAAAAGAGCAAAACTTGGATATATCGATTCAAAAGAAGCTCAAGCAATTGCCAATGATTATCGAATATCTCATGGAACCAAAGCACAAAGGCATTCGGTAGCTTCACATAAAAATGCAGTATATTTTGTGTAATACGACTGTGAAATCACACTCGCTCGTGGACTGTAAGAACTTACTATAGATTTATAGATTATTATAGATTTATAGATAGTTTATACAAATTTAAGTATAGTTAAAAAAATATTTTCTAAATATACAATTAATAATAAAGAATCGCTAATTATATTTGTTATCTACATCTATATATCTATTTATCTATATCTTTAAATCTATTTATATTTTTACTCTTGCTGCAATTAATTCGAAATGCAAGAATTATCAATATGTAGAGATATTTTAAGATACTTTATTTTAAGATACTTTAGTCTCTCAATTTTATAGAAAGACAATAAGAAAGATAATTGCGGCTATCCAAAACAGAAAATGGACATTTTCTAAAAATTCATATTTATTTTTGTAGATGAAGGAAAATAGAAGCCGATAATCATCGATATTACTAAGAAAACTTTTTGAATAATTTTTTTTCTATAAACGGAATAATTGAAAATGTTTCCATTGTCTATAATCTACAAGAGAAAAAATTCTACAAAACAAAATTTGATATCTACCATCTAATAAAAATATGCAGGTATATTTATTATTACTTTTATGAATAGGGAGAATGCTGTATTTAAATTATTTTAATTATTATTATTCATTATTTTATAATGTCGAGATAACAATAAGAAATAAATTTCTAATAAATAAGATATTAAATTATCTACAAAAATTTATAAGTCCTATATAATTATATATACGCGAGACGCTCTTTTCTCGTTGTTTGCGTTCTTTCTAATCATTTTTATCATGTCCATATTAAAATTTAAATATATTTATTTAGATTTTAATGTACAAAAAGTGCAGCTATAAAAATGAATCATATTTTCTCGGCACATTTATTGTAACTTGTCGATCCAATCAGCTCATAATCGTTCATTATTCTCGTCAACTCTGCTCCATTGAAGGAAACTACGTCTTTGATGAGTGCTTTTACTACAATCCACGACGCGCCCTCCCGGGGGGCAATGAACGATCCCATTCACTATTCGTTATGAAGAACAGCCATCATAACGCCATATTGAACCATTTCTGACTGGTGTCCCGTTCCCGTGAAAGTTATCACACTGTTTTCCACAATTTCCAAAGTCTGACACGGGTACGCGCAATAAGATTGATAAGATTGTTCGCGAAAAATTAATTTATTATTCGCGAATTTGAAAATTGTTTACAGCCTTAGTCGACTACGTAATCGTAGGAGTGCTATCTCGGAGTGACATACATAAATAATAAACAAGCAAAAAGTAACATACGCGACGTGCATATTATTTTGCAAGCAATCAGATTTATGCACAAATTCAAATCCTGTAAAATTGAGCAAATTTTTAAATATTAAGTTATTGAATTTTTCATATTTATGATCTTTTTTCTTTTTGTGATTGAGATAGTAAGTGGGATGTCCTTCATTATTGCGGCCGAGCGACATACAATTGCTGTGGTAATTAACAAGAGACGACTACTGTAATAGCGAATTCCGCGTCGCGAACGGGCACTGCCCATTTCTCTGCGAGCGTTCCTAACCTCAACCAACGAACGACGCGAGCTACGAAAATGGGTAAGTTTGTCGTGATAATTTAATGAAAATTTTCCGCGATTCCATTGTTTTTCATTACAAAATAATCGTTCGTTGTGTGAGGCCGATAAATCGATTGTAGATCCATTATTGAGAAGTGTGTGGCTGTCAATAACAACAGTTGTATAATCTATACAATCGTGAGCATTCATTAAAACTAAACAAGATTTTTGTATATTATTACTGATCTAATTAACATTTAAAAAGCTAATTTATACTGTAAATTATAACTTGTTCGACAAGATTTAGAGAGTTTATTAAACTTGATTGAGAAGAGAATGATGTCACAATAGTGGAAAGTGATTATGTGATAATAGTGAACGTCGCGTGCGAATTTCTGTCAAGGAACATTATGTTAATGGCACGTTTACGCTATTACGTTTGTAAATAAACTAAGATAATACGCGTGTACTTATACATACCTTTCACGCGTTATCTGACAGACTTACAGATAAGTGATTAGTCATTGGTTGGGTTTAGTCATTGACCGAACGCACCCACGTTTTGTCGCGCGTTCTTCATTTATTTTTATTGTGTGATTACTCTTGGGATTCGTATAACTCTATTAAAATGGCGAGACTACGTGAGCTACGTCAAACCAGAGAGAGTTTACCATTACGTGGCAAGTTTGTGAGTAACACTAGTGTAGACAGATTTTCTGAACGTAGTCTCCATGGTCTTGATTCAAGGGGACGATCTTCTAGTAAGTGTCTAAGAATGTTCTCAAAATGTGGCAATAAGTAAAGAAATATAAAAAGGATATAAATAAGATTTTGTTATAATAAATGTAGATATAAAAAAAATAATGCTATTTGTCATTACAACAAATTCTGTTGTAATTCATTAATCTATTTAAACGATATGTCCACATGTGTATAATTTATTTACTTGTAATATCGTATTTTTGTAATATATTAATTTCATTTTGTAATAAGATTTTATTGTAATTAACAATTTATATTAATCATATAAAAGTAGACATAATTCTCTGTAATCAAATGATAGATATAAAAAAAGACTTTTCTTGTTTAGGGAACATATGCAATGATTGCATGGCTAAAGTGCCCTATGCAACTCTCATAGCAACTATAATGTGTTGCCTGGGAGTTGGAATCTTCTGCGGTACTATGTATAGAGGTGGAACGTTGTCTACTCTTATGTTTGATCAGGTAAATCGATTATATCAGCTTATCGAAATACTTTTTAAAGAAGTTTTGTGGGAATTCTGTACATCTCAAGATATAAAATTAATTTAGGTGTTCCATCTGCATCTTTCATGGCTAGAAGCGATGCAAATGGTGTTTGCATCAATTGGAGCTTGCATGGCAGCTTTAGGATTTATGATTCTGTGTGTCGGTTTTCTTGCAACTGGTGCTACGCGACACAAGGTCTATCGTGCTTGGAGGTCCAGAGTGGGTGGACGTATTACCTGTGCTGTTGTAAGTACTTGAAGGAAAATTTTTGTCTTTAGTCTTATAAATATTTTGTGAAAGTTAAATTTTACCCTAGTCATATATCTTAATATAAATATTTCTACTTTTTTACAGTTTATGACTATCACCTACATTTTTCAAATAGTTTGGCTTCTGATTTTTGTATTCCTGATTATCACCACATTTGTATTCACTATATTTTGGGGCCTATGCAGCAAATCACGTGTCCAATCTCTTGAAGATTGCATTGACTTTACTCAATTCGGTAAGTTTTTATAGTGCTCGTCAATACATAAATGGATTGAAAGCAAAAAAAAAGTGTGTGTGTATTATAAGTCTATATATTTTCATTTTTTTACTTTAAAATCACATAATGAGATTGTTAATTTTTTTTAAATTTTAATGTAGCATTAAATATTTATTAATGCAAAAACTAATGCAAATAAAAACTAATACAAAGCAATTTTATGCAATTTCAGGCTTCATGTTTCCAAACAATACACGAGTACAAGACATGCAAGTATGTGGATCTCAAGAGGTAAAGCTCTTCTGCAAGGATTTCGTGGAAAAAGCTGCGGTAATGTTCATTCTGGCGACTGTGGCGGTCCTGCTGATAGTTTTGAGCGCAATGCACTACTTGATGTGCTTGTCTGCCAATTACGCGCACATACGGGATCACGAGAAGTTCCAAGAGCTGCAAGAACTGCAATATCTGCAGGATGCAGTCGATCCGGACTCTCCTCCACCAGGAATGGGTACTCTAGGTTCCCATCGCGGCAAAGACAGGTTCTAGGATACGGCCCGCGAGATCTTCACTATGAATCCTTTATAAGGAGCTTGTTCATTAGGACACATAAGTAACCTTCATGTCCGATTGGATATTTCTTCCGGGTGTTACTTCCTCTTTTCTGTGTACCTAAATTCGGTATTCTACTCATCGCGGTGTGTCGCGGTGGCTTACTGATCCGAGGATCTTGCGGGAACCAACTCTATGCCGTCCATTTTATCTGTCGTACGTAAGCATTTAAAAGCTTTTTCATACAAAGGAGACATTTATTAGAGTAAGGTCTTTGTCTTTAGCGTGAATGAAATGGATCCAAGTCGGGATCATTTTGTAAATTTGTATTAATAGAGAAAGTATTTGAAATCTGGCCTATGCACAACATGTTTAAAACGCACAATATGACAACACAGAGAAATTTTTTTATTCAGATATATTATTTTTATTTTATTTCGATGTACGCACATACTTACTGCGTTACGTAATAGTATTATGGAAGTATTCACGACACTTTAGGTCGTTTGGTCTAATATTTCGATATTAATTATTCTCGGACTGTACGCACTTGCGTATTATATCTTCAGTACTGAGATTTTTTACAAGAGAGATTTCTTTTTTTATATACGTATACATACGTTTACATAGTAGCTAAAGTAAAATATATGTATTTTCATTACATTCCGAATACTTAAAGTATGCTGGGAAAATCAGAAACGAATTGAATAATATAATAATATAAGATAATTGTTTGCAAAGTTATTTTTGCAATATTGCAGTTGCTCTAAATATGACAATTGAAGTTTTGTCACAGCATTTTTTCAGCATACTTTTTAAGCATATTTATATCTGTGCAATCATAAAGAAAAAATTCATTTTTCACAAAGCAACTTTTGCAAACTGCAAATTAAACATTACAAAAATCATAACATTGTGCATATGGGAGAACATTTAAATTAGTAGATTCT